TCAGAGTGCTGAGATGTCAGTGGTCAGAGTGCTGAGATGTCAGTGGTCAGAGTGCTGAGATGTCAGTGGTCAGAGTGCTGAGATATCAGTGGTCAGGTGCTGAGATGTCAGTGGTCAGAGTGCTGAGATGTCAGTGGTCAGAGTGCTGAGATGTCAGTGGTCAGAGTGCTGAGATGTCAGTGGTCAAGTGCTGAGATGTCAGTGGTCAGAGTGCTGAGATGTCAGTGGTCAGAGTGCTGAGATGTCAGTGGTCAGAGTGCTGAGATGTCAGTGGTTCAGAGTGCTGAGATTCAGTGGTCAGAGTGCTGAGATATCAGTGGTCAGAGTGCTGAGATTCAGTGGTCAGAGTGCTGAGATGTCAGTGGTCAGAGTGCTGAGATGTCAGTGGTCAGAGTGCTGAGATGATCAGTGGTCAAGTGCTGAGATGTCAGTGGTCAAGTGCTGAGATGTCAGTGGTCAGAGTGCTGAGATGTCAGTGGTCAGAGTGCTGAGATGTCAGTGGTCAGAGTGCTGAGATGTCAGTGGTCAAGTGCTGAGATGTCAGTGGTCAGAGTGCTGAGATGTCAGTGGTCAGAGTGCTGAGATGTCAGTGGTCAGAGTGCTGAGATGTCAGTGGTCAGAGTGCTGAGATATCAGTGGGTCAGAGTTGCTGGAGATTCAGTGGTCAGAGTGCTGAGATGTCAGTGGTCAGAGTGCTGAGATGTCAGTGGTCAGAGTGCTGAGATGTCAGTGGTCAACGTGCTGAGATGTCAGTGGTCAGAGTGCTGAGATGTCAGTGGTCAGAGTGCTGAGATGTCAGTGGTCAGAGTGCTGAGATGTCAGTGGTCAGAGTGCTGAGATATCAGTGGTCAGAGTGCTGAGATGTCAGTGGTCAGAGTGCTGAGATGTCAGTGGTCAGAGTGCTGAGATGTCAGTGGTCAGAGTGCTGAGATGTCAGTGGTCAGAGTGCTGAGATATCAGTGGTCAGAGTGCTGAGATATCAGTGGTCAGATGTTTGAGATATCAGTGGTCAGAGTGCTGAGATGTCAGTGGTCAGAGTGCTGAGATATCAGTGGTCAGAGTGCTGAGATGTCAGTGGTCAGAGTGCTGAGATGTCAGTGGTCAGAGTGCTGAGATATCAGTGGTCAGAGTGCTGAGATGTCAGGGGGTCAGAGTGCTGAAATGTCAGTGGTCAGAGTGCTGAGATTGGTCAGATTGAATGTCAGGTGCTGAGATGTCAGTGGTCAGAGTGCTGAGATTCAGTGGTCAGAGTGCTGAGATGTCAGTGGGTCAGAGTGTGAGATGTCAGTGGTCAGATGCTGAGATGTCAGTGGTCAGTGCTGAGATGTCAGTGGTCAGAGTGCTGAGATGTCAGTGGGCAGAGTGCTGAGATGACAGTGGTCAGAGTGCTGAGATGTCAGTGGTCAGAGTGCTGAGATGTCAGTGGGCAGAGTGCTGAGATGTCAGTGGTCAGTGTGCTGAGATGTCAGTGGTCTCAGAGTGCTAGATGTCAGTGGTTCCAGGTGCTGAGATGTCAGTGGTCAGAGTGCTGAGATGTCAGTGGTCAGTGGTGAGATGTCAGTGGTCAGAGTGCTGAGATGTCAGTGGGCAGAGTGCTGAGATGACAGTGGTCAGAGTGCTGAGATGTCAGTGGTCAGAGTGCTAAGATGTCAGTGGTCAGAGTGCTGAGATGTCAGTGGTCAGAGTGCTGAGATGTCAGTGGTCAGTGGTGAGATGTCAGTGGTCAGAGTGCTGAGATGTCAGTGGTCAGTGCTGAGATGTCAGTGGTCAGTGCTGAGATGTCAGTGGTCAGAGTGCTGAGATGTCAGTGGTCAGAGTGCTGAGATGTCAGTGGTCAGAGTGCTGAGGTATATCAGTGGTCAGAGTGCTGAGATGTCAGTGGTCAGTCAGGTGCTGAGGATGTCAGTGGTCAGAGTGCTGAGATGTCAGTGGTCAGAGTGCTGAGATGTCAGTGGTCAGAGTGCTGAGGTATCAGTGGTCAGAGTGCTGAGATATCAGTGGTCAGAGTGCTGAGATGTCAGTGGTCAGAGTGCTGAGATGTCAGTGGTCAGAGTGCTGAGATGTCAGTGGTCAGTGCTGAGATGTCAGTGATCATTGCTGAGATATCAGTGGTCAGTGCTGAGATGTCAGTGGTCAGTGCTGAGATGTCAGTGGTCAGTGCTGAGATGTCAGTAGTCAGTGCTGAGATGTCAGTGGTCAGTGCTGAGGTGTCAGTGGTCAGTGCTGAGATGTCAGTGGTCAGTGCTGAGATGTCAGTGGTCAGTGCTGAGATGTCAGTGGTCAGTGCTGAGATGTCAGTGGTCAGTGCTGAGATGTCAGTGGTCAGTGCTGAGATGTCAGTGGTCAGTGCTGAGATGTCAGTGATCATTGCTGAGATGTCAGTGGTCAGTACTGAGATGTCAGTGGTCAGTGCTGAGATGTCAGTGGTCAGTGCTGAGATGTCAGTGGTCAGTGCTGAGATGTCAGTGGTCAGTGCTGAGATGTCAGTGGTCAGTGCTGAGATGTCAGTGGTCAGTGCTGAGATGTCAGTGATCATTGCTGAGATGTCAGTGGTCAGTGCTGAGATGTCAGTGGTCAGTGCTGAGATGTCAGTGGTCAGTGCTGAGATGTCAGTGGTCAGTGCTGAGATGTCAGTGGTCAGTGCTGAGATGTCAGTGGTCAGTGCTGAGATGTCAGTAGTCAGTGCTGAGATGTCAGTGGTCAGTGCTGAGGTGTCAGTGGTCAGTGCTGAGATGTCAGTGGTCAGTGTTGAGATGTCAGTGGTCAGTGCTGAGATGTCAGTGGTCAGTGCTGAGATGTCAGTGGTCAGTGCTGAGATGTCAGTGGTCAGTGCTGAGATGTCAGTGGTCAGTGCTGAGATGTCAGTGGTCAGTGCTGAGATGTCAGTGGTCAGTGTTGAGATGTCAGTGGTCAGTGCTGAGATGTCAGTGGTCAAAGTGTTGAGATGTCAGTGGTCAGTGCTGAGATGTCAGTGGTCAGTGCTGAGATGTCAGTGGTCAGTGCTGAGATGTCAGTGGTCATATAGTATTGTAAAGAATTTTAAATAGCATGTAAATTACGAAAGAAAACCTGAAAAATATTAATAAATCGCGTTTTAATGGTAGTTTCAAGTTTAACCAGGACAAACCTTCATCTTTTTAGAACATTCTCAATTAAACTGTTCTTTTCTTCCTTCAAAAATTTCGTTTATTACTCAAGAACGCCTTAATAATGGCCTAATAACACAGGTTTTTCCCTGATATCGTTTCCGAGTAATAAATTGAAATGAAGAGTTCTTTGATAGACTTCGAAATTCTAAAATTCTAGTATCCTATTTGGAAGATAATTAAAATTATTGGTGAAATGTGTAGGTACAATTAATATAGAACTGGTATAGTAAAATTTGACGTTATTCCATTAAATGTAACTTCATGCTGGTGAGGGATTTGATCCAACAAAATGGATTTCTTTTCCCCTTTCCTGGATCGAGTCTGAATGTCTCCCATCTCATTGGTGCTAAATGACCCATACTTGTTTTGTGCTTTCTCTTAATTTAAATAAAATATTTATGAATGACATCATTCTTTAATGGCCCGTGAAATGCATGAAACATTTTGGCCATTGGCAAAATTTGTTTCATTCCGTGCAGTAACTGGGGAATGCATTTTCTGACTCACGAAATCGTCCAGTGGCTAACGCGACGGTCTGGAGTTTTGAGACTCTCTGACCGCGGGTTCAAATCCCGGCCGTGGTATGGTTTTTTTATGCATCTTCTGGTCAACTTGAAACTCTTGGTGATAATTTGCTTTCCTCAATGGAAGCTTCGCCTTGATTTAAGGTTATATATGATATCTGGTCAACAATTTTTGAAAAATTGCATGCTTCTTAAATGAGATTCGTTAATTCGTATGTATTTTCATATCCAGAATCCAAATATCACTTTGAAAAAATGCTTATTAGCTATAGTTTTAAAGATACGAGACATGTAATATTTGATTATTTTACTATAACGTACAATATTTGTCAGTATGTTTAAAACTCTAATCCGTACTTGTTCTCTGCCTTTTTGCTTGACTGAAGAATCATCTCTTGTCAATGTCCAGCAATAGTCTGCAAGCATTCTTGTGTTCCATTTGCCTGGTACCATTTTTCCATGGTTGAAATATCTTGGTGAAACTTTACACCATGTTCGTCACTAACTGCCGCACAGTTCGCTGGAAAAAAATGTCTAAATGTGAGTCCATAAAGTGGATTTCAAGTGACATGTTATATCCCATGTTCTTGTAATCCTAGATGAGGTTTTCCACCAATTTTTCTTAGTTGCCTTCCCTTTTGTTTCCGAGACATACCTTCGCCACTAACTTGAATGCTTCCCCTTTAAGAAGCTCTCGAATCTGAGGACCATTGAAGACTCCCTCTCATCGAGGGGAATTTTGACGTTAAATACTTGAATCCCTGACCGGATTTGTCCATAGCTTTTACAAAGTTTTTCAGTTCTGTGTGTAGTTGTGGTAGCAAAATTTTGTTTGGTTCAATGAGAGGTGGATGTTGAACATTTTTCATCCCAGACAATATCATTAACCGAATTGCTCAGACAATATCATTAACGCATGTATACAACTCCGCAGCTCCCGCTTAAACTTAATGGCAAAATACAAAACGAAGCTACTCTCCCGGGAGAACGATCAGGCTCAACGTAGATAACGTGAATAGTCTACAAAAAAATCGGAGGAGCAGTCAAATAGAAAGTTGGTGCTCTAATGAAGATAACAGTTTTAGAACAATCGAACCATAATGTGAGCAGTAATTCACATACAATCCCTCTCCAAAAGTAAAATGTGGCTCACCTATCATGACGGTTTAGACAGTCAAATATTTGAGAAAAAAAGGTTCTCTGGTGAAGCATTGTATTAAAGAGACATTCATGAGAACTAATTTCCTTTTTAATACTTTTCTGTTTTGCGACTATTTTGTACCAATGCTAAAAAAAATCTGAAAAAAAAAATGTGCAAAAAACATACCAGTTTAACATTTTTGACCAGCAGAGAGAGATGCTCGTCCTGGTTGTTGAAATCCAAATCGTTAACTGTTGCATCAAAAAATCCAGCTCCTCTTGGAAACAGCCGAGGATCTATTATCTAAAAGTAAATTTTGATGGTCCATGAGGAATTATCTTATCATTCCATTGCTGGGTTATTGAATAAATAATACGAAAGATGAGAATTTCACACAAGTGCATTACATAGTAATTTTAGTGAGTACATGTCTCCCACGCAGGGACGTGATAATGCTTTAGTGAGTACATGTCTCCCACGCAAGGACGTGATAATGCTTTAGTGAGTACATGTCTCCCACGCAGGGACGTGATAATGCTTTAGTGAGTACATGTCTCCCACGCAAGGACGTGATAATGCTTTAGTGAGTACATGTCTCCCACGCAGGGACGTGATAATGCTTTAGTGAGTACATGGCTCCCACGCAGGGACGTGACAATGCTTTAGTGAGTACATGTCTCCCACGCAGGGACGTGATAATGCTTTAGTGAGTACATGTCTCCCACGCAGGGATGTGATAATGCTTTAGTGAGTACATGTCTCCCACGCAGGGACGTGACAATGCTTTAGTGAGTACATGTCTCCCACGCAGGGACGTGATAATGCTTTAGTGAGTACATGTCTCCCACGCAGGGACGTGATAATGCTTTAGTGAGTACATGTCTCCCACGCAGGGACGTGATAATGCTTTAGTGAGTACATGTCTCCCACGCAGGGACGTGATAATGCCTTAGTGAGTACATGTCTCCCACGCTGGGACGTGATAATGCTTTAGTGAGTACGTGTCTCCCACGCAGGGACGTGATAATGCCTTAGTGAGTACATGTCTCCCACGCTGGGACGTGATAATGCTTTAGTGAGTACATGTCTCCCACCCAGGGACGTGGTAATGCTTTAGTGAGTACATGTCTCCCACCCAGGGACGTGATAATGCTTTAGTGAGTACATGTCTCCCACGTAAGGACGTGATAATGCTTTAGTGAGTACACGTCTCCTACGCAGGGACGTGATAATGTTTTAGTGAGTACGTGTCTCCCACGCAGGGACGTGATAATGCCTTAGTGAGTACATGTCTCCCACGCTGGGACGTGATAATGCTTTAGTGAGTACATGTCTCCCACGCAGGGACGTGATAATGCTTTAGTGAGTACATGTCTCCCACGCAGGGACGTGATAATGCTTTAGTGAGTACATGTCTCCCACGCAGGGACGTGATAATGCTTTAGTGAGTACATGTCTCCCACGCAGGGACGTGATAATGCTTTAGTGAGTACATGTCTCCCACCCAGGGACGTGATAATGCTTTAGTGAGTACATGTCTCCCACCCAGGGACGTGATAATGCTTTAGTGAGTACATGTCTCCCACGCAGGGACGTGATAATGCTTTAGTTAGTACATGTCTCCCACGTAAGGACGTGATAATGCTTTAGTGAGTACACGTCTCCTACGCAGGGACGTGATAATGTTTTAGTGAGTACGTGTCTCCCACGCAGGGACGTGATAATGCCTTAGTGAGTACATGTCTCCCACGCTGGGACGTGATAATGCTTTAGTGAGTACATGTCTCCCACGCAGGGACGTGATAATGCTTTAGTGAGTACATGTCTCCCACGCAGGGACGTGATAATGCTTTAGTGAGTACGTGTCTCCCACGCAGGGACGTGATAATGCTTTAGTGAGTACATGTCTCCCACGCAGGGACGTGATAATGCTTTAGTGAGTACATGTCTCCCACCCAGGGACGTGATAATGCTTTAGTGAGTACATGTCTCCCACCCAGGGACGTGATAATGCTTTAGTGAGTACATGTCTCCCACGCAGGGACGTGATAATGCTTTAGTTAGTACATGTCTCCCACGTAAGGACGTGATAATGCTTTAGTGAGTACACGTCTCCTACGCAGGGACGTGATAATGTTTTAGTGAGTACATGTCTCCCACGTAAGGACGTGATAATGCTTTAGTGAGTACATGTCTCCCACGCAGGGACGTGATAATGCTTTAGTGAGTACATGTCTCCCACGCAGGGACGTGATAATGCCCACTACGTGGGTGGAATCTTTTAAGCAAATCATGTTACTTCACTAATGTCTATATATCATCTTGTATCTCAACGGATATATGTCATATGTTACAGAAACAATTTCGTATCATAGTATGGTGGAGTGTGCAATGTCTTGCATTTAATAGCTTCAAATGTTGCTTGACTTTCCTTGTCTAGTACTAAAAGAAAACAAACAATCAGAAAAGTATAATGTATTTCCACACCTTGTCGGTATCACCATACCTTCTCCCATTTCCACATAGGCATAAATATTTAATTTTTAAATAATTTTTTTGTGAAATTGCTATTGAAAGATACTTTCTTAATATTTTACGTCAAATTATGATAGTGAACAAAAAATGAGTGTACATCAATATTAATCTTTCTCTCTCTCTTACATAACAAAGATGCTGAATCCCTTGCCTTGATGATCGTTGATGGTGAGGTAGTGCCGTCAGTGATGAAAATTACCGAGATGTTGCTATGTGATGCTGAGGCGAGAACAGCCTCCACCACCTGTGCTGCTAGTCCATCACGCGCATCATCCAGTGCTGGCAGTCCAGCCCGCACCGCCTGTCTTGTTAACCCCAACTTCAATACCTGTGCTTTCAGCTCTGCCTTTGCCACATGCACAGTCAATCCAATATCCACCACCTGTGCTGTTAGTCCATCATGCGCATCATCCAGTGCTGGCAGTCCAGCCTCCCCCACCTGAGATGTAAACCCATCCTCAGACACCTGTCTCGTCAACCCAACGTGTCTCATCTCCTCTGTTAATGTGACATTGAGCTCAGCTGTAGAAAAAAGTGAAATGAAATATTCTTAAATACTAATTTTCTTTTTATGCATTTACGAGATTTGGATTCATGAAACAAAGTGTTTGCTCTCAATATAACCATTGTAATTATCTCTAAAAAGTGTCAATAATGGCACACGAATAACGACAGAATGTTGACTAAAATACATTGGAGGAAACATTGATACTGATAACATTTCACTTATGTTACATTTTTTTCAAAACTGTAGAAATAACTTAGTGAAAAGACAATTTGTAAGTGAGATATAGGTAGTTGGCAATACAATATAGATAAAGAAAAATATATTACTTAGCAGGAACACAATACGTAGACAGTAAGTGAGGTGAAGAAAGACAAGGGTGGAGAAGACATCAAAAATTATGTAGCTCTTACAGATACGTTGTATCCGTGAAGGGTTTATCTAGAGTATCTGGAGAAAAATATGAATAAACTGATCATTGGAGTCTGGATATTTACTTGTGATTATAAACCGAAGTGTTTTTTGCTCGGAATGTTATAAAGGCAGGCGTCATTGTCTGGAATGTTATAAAGGCAGACGTCATTGTTTGGAATGTTATAAAGGCAGGCGTCATTGTCTGGAATGTTATAAAGGCAGACGTCATTGTTTGGAATGTTATAAAGGCAGGCGTCATTGTCTGGAATGTTATAAAGGCAGGCGTCATTGTCTGGAATGTTATAAAGGCAGACGTCATTGTTTGGAATGTTATAAAGGCAGACGTCATTGTCTGGAATGTTATAAAGGCAGACGTCATTGTTTGGAATGTTATAAAGGCAGACATCATTGTTTGGAATGTTATAAAGGCAGACATCATTGTTTGGAATGTTATAAAGGCAGACATCTTTGTTTGGAATGTTATAAAGGCAGACGTCATTGTTTGGAATGTTATAAAGGCAGACGTCATTGTCTGGAATGTTATAAAGGCAGGCGTCATTGTTTGGAATGTTATAAAGGCAGACGTCATTGTCTGGAATGTTATAAAGGCAGGCGTCATTGTTTGGAATGTTATAAAGGCAGACGTCATTGTCTGGAATGTTATAAAGGCAGGCGTCATTGTTTGGAATGTTATAAAGGCAGACGTCATTGTTTGGAATGTTATAAAGGCAGACATCATTGTTTGGAATGTTATAAAGGCAGGCGTCATTGTTTGGAATGTTATAAAGGCAGGCGTCATTGTTTGGAATGTTATAAAGGCAGACGTCATTGTTTGGAATGTTATAAAGGCAGACATCATTGTTTGGAATGTTATAAAGGCAGGCGTCATTGTCTGGAATGTTATAAAGGCAGACATCATTGTTTGGAATGTTATAAAGGCAGGCGTCATTGTTTGGAATGTTATAAAGGCAGACGTCATTGTCTGGAATGTTATAAAGGCAGGCGTCATTGTCTGGAATGTTATAAAGGCAGGCGTCATTGTCTGGAATGTTATAAAGGCAGGCGTCATTGTTTGGAATGTTATAAAGGCAGACGTTATTGTCTGGAATGTTATAAAGGCAGGCGTCATTGTCTGGAATGTTATAAAGGCAGGCGTCATTGTCTGGAATGTTATAAAGGCAGACGTCATTGTCTGGAATGTTATAAAGGCAGACGTCATTGTTTGGAATGTTATAAAGGCAGACGTCATTGTCTGGAATGTTATAAAGGCAGACGTCATTGTCTGGAATGTTATAAAGGCAGACGTCATTGTCTGGAATGTTATAAAGGCAGGCGTCATTGTTTGGAATGTTATAAAGGCAGAGACGTCATTGTTTGGAATGTTATAAAGGCAGGCGTCATTGTCTGGAATGTTATAAAGGCAGGCGTCATTGTTTGGAATGTTATAAAGGCAGAGACGTCATTGTTTGGAATGTTATAAAGGCAGAGAAGTTACTGGGATCTGTGTATGGAAAAAAGTCATCGTAATTTTGGTACAAATACAATAATTACGTCTCAGATACGATACACGATACCTTCTGTTATTATAATACGGTTTGTGCCATAATTTCGGGGAACACATCTTGTAATTGTCATATTTTGGCGTCGTTGCTTTTCAATGGGGGAATGTTGCATGTCCTCCCGAGTTTTCTGCTTTCATAGGGAGTGATTTTCGTGATACAGGTTTAATTTCAAGTTTTCCATATCTTAGTAGTAGAAATTTTCTTTATTAAACTTTATATTGTTTTGAGTGGCCTATTTGAAGATTTGGTTAATGTCCATTGGAGCCTTGAGGTGTCTTCGATGGAGGTCACTATCATGGCAATCCAGGTGTCATCCACAAAAAAAGACATTGAGCTATGGCTAAGAATATGGTAGAATAATTTTTTTGAATCTGCAGCCGAAGCAGCTGGTGTATAGAAATAGGCTTCAAAAGGGGTTAACATATATAAATCTTAATTTATATCTACAGATGACATATATGTTGCAAAAAAAATTAGGACATTTGCTTAATATAAGGAATAAAGAGGTCAATATCGTGATTGAAACAAAACGCAAATACGCAAATAACCTAGACTTTCACGAAAAATTATAGAAAGCTCTTCTACTTGATCTGGTCAGAAATAAGACGTAGTATAGGGAGGAGTAAAGACTTTGCTCATGAATGAATTAACTCAGCTTTTAATGACGATAGTTCCGTGATTTCATTAATGTATAGACTGCTGGTGAAGGCTGGTACCCCAAACAGGATGAGGTTGAAATTTTAGTCTCTGAGGCTCCACGACCACGTATGTCCTTGCTTCAGGGAAAACACGCTCAGCACAGCTGAGCGCTAGTGCTTGAAGATTGTTGATCAAGTGGATAGATTAGTGCCTGGCCAAGCCGCAGTTCTATTTATATATATATATATATATATATATATATATATATATATATATATATATATATATATATATATACAAACACTGTGCTATACCAAACTCACCACACTGGACCAATACCTCGGAGTACAGCTTGCGCTAGATGGAGGTTATTTCTCAGTAAAAGTAGGCCTAAGACAAGGATGTGTGATGTCACCGTGGTTGTTCAATATATTTATAGATGAGGTTGTAAGAGAAGTAAATGCGAGGGTCTTGGTAAGAGGTGTGGAGTTAAAAGATAAAGAATCACACATTAAGTGGGAGTTGTCACAGTTGCTTTTTGCTGATGACACTGTGCTCTTGGGTGATTCTGAAGAGAAATTGCAGAGGTTGGTGGATGAATTTGGTAGGGTATGTAAAAGAATAAAATTGAAAGTGAGTACAGGAAAGAGTAAGGTTATGAGGATAACAAAAAGATTAGGTGATGAAAGATTGGATATCAGATTGGAGGGAGAGAGTATGGAGGAGGTGAATGTATTCAGATATTTGTGAGTGGACGTGTCAGCTGATGGGTCTATGAAATATGAGGTGAATCATAGAATTTATGAGGGGAAAAGGGTGAGCGGTGCACTTAGGAGTCTGTGGAGACAAAGAACTTTGTCCTTGGAAGCAAAGGGGGGAATGTATGAGAGTATAGTTTTACCAACGCTCCTGTATGGGTGTGAAGCATGGGTGATGAATGTTGCAACGAGGAGAAAGCTGGAGGCAGTGGAGATGTCATGTCTGTTTGGAAAGTTAGAAGGTGCGGGATTGCCGCACCGCATATATATGCAATAAGATCACAATAAACAGGTGATTTAAGAATATGCAAAACAACCACAGTGAAAGAATAATGAAATTCCAAGTGCTTTCGTGACTACTCACATTATCAAGGAACAATAAGAGTAATGCATCAAAGAAAGGCATATAAAGGGTCTAGACCACACCTCACCATCACATCCCACAACAAAGCATCACCTGACGTGCGACTCATAAGAAAGAGAGCACTGCAGCAGGCACGCTGGCCAAACTAGTTGATGTGTGCATCAAACACAGAGCGCTGGGCCTAGAAGTTGCCTGGGGGGGATTGGGATGATACCAACCTTGTTAAGTTTGTCTGGAACATCTCTCTTTAGTAACTGGAGTAGTTCCTCTTCAGAGGAGAGCAGTAGAGCTGCACCAGAAAGGATTTGGAATATATCCACAGGTGCAACAGTGGCATTAGCACAAATGCAGTTTAATATGTCCCTCTAGGAGTTCCGGTAGTCAGTGACCTAAAGTGTGACTATTATCTTGGGCATGTTGCCCAGCTAGGGTAAACCTGACTCAAACAGTATGCTGGAAAAAAGAACTTTCCTTTGTGTCCTGCAATCCTACTTTAGCTGACATATGAAGGTCAGCCTAAAATATAACCTATCCTGGAGGGAGTGACGGAAAGACGAGGTCCAACAATATGACTGGCCAGAGTTAAGAGTAATGTTAGATTAAAAAAGCTGTTGTTTCTACACACGTAGCACAATATATAAATAAGCAGACAATGTTACCTACCAATTGGTTTCGGTATCTGCTCTTCTCCATAACATATATCAGCAGACAGAAGAGACACTATTGCCAATAAAATCGTCATCTTGTTTGTTTTTTCCCTGGAATGAAAAGAAAATAAAAAATATCTCTGTTCACGAAAAGCTGATAAACTTTAATAAGAGTGCTCCAGTCAGAGATTTTCAGGGGTTTGCGAGTTAATTTATAGTTTTTTTTGTGTTTCGTTTGTCATGTTGATTATAATACGCTCATTAATTTTTTGCATTTTACTTTTAAAACATAAACTTTCAAAAATTTAGAGAGAATTTTTAAAAAAATAGTTTGTGCTGTATTTGAATATATATATATATATATTTTTTTTTTTATTATCACACCGGCCGATTCCCACCAAGGCAGGGTGGCCCGAAAAAGAAAAACTTTCACCATCATTCACTCCATCACTGTCTTGCCAGAAGGGTGCTTTACACTACAGTTTTTAAACTGCAACATTATATATATATATATATATATATATATATATATATATATATATATATATTATATATATATATATATATATATATATATATATTATATATATATAATATTTATATTATATTATATATATATAAAATATTATATTCGAACCTACGAACCTTGGAGCAAGGTACGCAGTGCTATACCAAACTCACCACACTGGAGCAATACCTTGGAGTCCACCTTGCGCTAGACTTTGATCCAAGGCAGCCAGCTTTCAGGGAGAAGGCTTACAGCTTTTCATCTCATCCCCTGCATGCATCAGCCTTACTGGAGATTTTAACAATACTAAGAATTCGCAAGAGCAGGCGAAATATACACAAACACTGATCTCTGGCTGAAGAAGACTCGAACCTACGAACCTTGGAACAAGATACGCAGTGCTTTATCAACGTAGCTACACTGGTTCAATACCTGGCTGCCTTGGATCAACATCTAGCTCACGCTAAAAGATAAGGTATTGGACCAGTGTAGCTAGGTTGGTAAAGCACTGCGTATCTTGCTCCAAGGTTCGTAGGTTCGAGTCTCCTTCAGCCAGATATCAGTGTTTGTAAATATTTCGCCTGCTCTTGCGAATTCCTTGCATATAATATATATTATATATATATATATATATATATATATATATATATATATATATATATATATATATATATATATATATATATATATATATATATATATATATATATATATATGTCGTGCCGAATATGTAAAACTGGTCAATTAGCAAGAACTCATTCAAAATTAAGTGCTTTCTAAAATTTTCTCTTTTACGTTTATAGATATATAATTTTCATTAATGTTGATGTAAAAATTTATAATTTTGCACCAAAAGGAACTTAGAAAACTTACCTAACCTTATTATAACAAGCGCAATTTATTTTAGCCTAACCCAACTAAATATATTTTAGATTTGTTTACAATAATTTAATACTAAACAAACACAGCGAAATATATTTTTTTTCGTTAGGTTCAGAATGATTTTGGCGAAATTATTCCATACACTCCACAAAGGGGGCAGTAAAGCAACAGCAAAGAACTACAGACCGATAGCACTAACATCCCATATCATAAAAATCTTTGAAAGGGTCCTAAGAAGCAAGATCACCACCCATCTAGAAATCCATCAGTTACACAACCCAGGGCAACATAGGTTTAGAACAGGTCGCTCCTGTCTGTCTCAACTATTGGATCACTACGACAAGGTCCTAGATGCACGAGAAGACAAAAAGAATGCAGATGTAATATATACAGACTTTGCAAAAGCCTTCGACAAGTGTGACCATGGCGTAATAGCGCACAAAATGCGTGCTAAAGGAATAACAGGAAAAGTCGGTCGATGGATCAAAAATTTCCTCACTAACAGAACAGAGAGTAGTCGTCAACAGAGTAAAGTCCGAGGCAGCTACGGTGAAAAGCTCTGTTCCACAATGCACAGTACTTGCTCCCATCTTGTTCCTCATCCACATATCCGACATAGACAAGGATGTCAGCCACAGTACCGTGTCTTCCTTTGCAGATGACACCCGAATCTGCATGAAAGTGTCTTCCATTGCAGACACTGCAAGGCTCCAGGAGGACATCAACCAAATCTTTCAGTGGGCTGCAGAAAACAATATGAAGTTCAAAGATGAGAAATTTCAATTACTCAGATATGGTAAACACGAGGAAATTAAATCTTCATCAGAGTACAAAACAAATTCTGGCCACAAAATAGAGCGAAACACCAACGTCAAAGACCTGGGAGTGATCATGTCGGAGGATCTCACCTTCAATGACCATAACATTGCATCAATCGCATCTGCTAGAAAAATGACAGGATGGATAATGAGAACCTTCAAAACTAGGGATGCCAATCCCATGATGACACTCTTCAGGTAACTTGTTCTATCTAGGCTGGAATATTGCTGCACACTAACAGCACCTTTCAAGGCAGGTGAAATTGCTGACCTAGAAAATGTACAGAGAACCTTCAAGGCGCGCATAACGGAGATAAAACACTTCAATTACTGGGAGCGCTTGAGGTTCCTAAACCTGTATTCCTTGGAACGCAGGCTGGAGAGATACATGATTATATACACCTGGAAAATCCTAGAGGGACTAGTACCGAACTTGCACACGAAAATCACTCACTACGAAAGCAAAAGACTTGGCAGACGATGCAACACCCCCCCAATGAATAGCAGGGGAGTCACTAGCACGTTAAGAGACCATACAATAAGTGTCAGGGGCCCGAGACTGTTCAACTGCCTCCCAGCATACATAAGGGGGATTACCAACAGACCCCTGGCAGTCTTCAAGCTGGCACTGGACAAGCACCTAAAGTCGATTCCTGACCAGCCGGGCTGTGGCTCGTACGTTGGTTTGCGTGCAGCCAGCAGTAACAGCCTGGTTGATCAGGCTTCGATCCACCAGGAGGCCTGGTCACAGACCGGGCCGCGGGGGCGTTGACCCCCGGAACTCTCTCCAGGTAAACTCCAGGTATGGCAAGATGAGCGTTGCTATTTAAGCCAAGATCGCAAGTTCTGCCTATTCGGCACGACATATATATATATATATATATATATATATATATATATATATATTATATATATATATATATATATATATATATATATATATATATTATATATATATATATATATATATGTGTATATATATATATATGGTATATATATGGTAGAGTTATAATTGAAAGAATTAAGAGTAAGACGGAGAATAGGATAGCAGATGAACAAGGAGGCTTTAGGAAAGGTAGGGGGTGTGTGGACCAGGTGTTTACAGTGAAACATATAAGTGAACAGTATTTAGATAAGGCTAAAGAGGTCTTTGTGGCATTTATGGATTTGGAAAAGGCGTATGACAGGGTGGATAGGGGGGCAATGTGGCAGATGTTGCAAGTGTATGGTGTAGGAGGTAGGTTACTGAAAGCAGTGAAGAGTTTTTACGAGGATAGTGAGGCTCAAGTTAGAGTATGTAGGAAAGAGGGAAATTTTTTCCCAGTAAAAGTAGGCCTTAGACAAGGATGTGTGATGTCACCGTGGTTGTTTAATATATTTATAGATGGGGTTGTAAGAGAAGTAAATGCGAGGGTCTTGGCAAGAGGCGTGGAGTTAAAAGATAAAGAATCACACACAAAGTGGGAGTTGTCACAGCTGCTCTTTGCTGATGACACTGTGCTCTTGGGAGATTCTGAAGAGAAGTTGCAGAGATTGGTGGATGAATTTGGTAGGGTGTGCAAAAGAAGAAAATTAAAGGTGAATACAGGAAAGAGTAAGGTTATGAGGATAACAAAAAGATTAGGTGATGAAAGATTGAATATCAGATTGGAGGGAGAGGTATGGAGGAGGTGAACGTATTCAGATATTTGGGAGTGGACGTGTCAGCGGATGGGTCTATGAAAGATGAGGTGAATCATAGAATTGATGAGGGAAAAAGAGTGAGTGGTGCACTTAGGAGTCTGTGGAGACAAAGAACTTTGTCCTTGGAGGCAAAGAGGGGAATGTATGAGAGTATAGTTTTACCAACGCTCTTATATGGGTGTGAAGCGTGGGTGATGAATGTTGCAGCGAGGAGAAGGCTGGAGGCAGTGGAGATGTCATGTCTGAGGGCAATGTGTGGTGTGAATATAATGCAGAGAATTCGTAGTTTGGAAGTTAGGAGGAGGTGCAGGATTACCAAAACTGTTGTCCAGAGGGCTGAGGAAGGGTTGTTGAGGTGGTTCGGACATGTAGAGAGAATGGAGCGAAACAGAATGACTTCAAGAGTGTATCAATCTGTAGTGGAAGGAAGGCGGGGTAGGGGTCGGCCTAGGAAGGGTTGGAGGGAGGGGGTAAAGGAGGTTTTGTGTGCGAGGGGCTTGGACTTCCAGCAGGCATGCGTGAGCGTGTTTGATAGGAGTGAATGGAGACAAATGGTTTTTAATACTTGACGTGCTGTTGGAGTGTGAGCAAAGTAACATTTATGAAGGGATTCAGGGAAACCGGCAGGCCGGACTTGAGTCCTGGAGATGGAAAGTACAGTGCCTGCACTCTGAAGGAGGGGTGTTAATGTTGCAGTTTAAAAACTGTAGTGTAAAGCACCCTTCTGGCAAGACAGTGATGGAGTGAATGATGGTGAAAGTTTTTCTTTTTCGGGCCACCCTGCCTTGGTGGGAATCGGCCGGTGTGATAATAAAATAAATAAATAAATATTATATATATATATATATATATATATAATATATATATATATATATATATATATATATATATATATATATATATATATATATATATATATATGTATATGTATATATATATATATATATATATATATATATATATATTATATATATATATATATATATATATATATATATATTATATATATATATATATATATATATATATATATATATATATATATATATAATATATATATATATATATATATATGCAAAACAACCACGCTGAAAGAATAGAGAAATTCCAAGCGCTTTCGTGAATACTCACATTATCAAGGAACTATGAAAGTAAAGCATTCAAGGAAGCTATATAAGGGGTCTGGCCAACACCTCACTATCAG